GGGAAGGTGCCCCTAGGGAAGCACCTGCACTGAAATGCAGGATTTAGCTGGGATCCGTGGGTCGGGAACTTGTCAGGTCTTCACTGTGGATGAGGCGTTGATGTCCCAGGTCCATTTCCGCACCAAGTATTTGCAGTGACTTGAGGAAGGCCCTCCCTCCGCATGAGGAGTACGTGTGAAGGACTTTCTCGTTCCATCTGCTCATCCTACAAGATCTGTGGGGACTCGAAATTAGAACATGGAAATGCCAGCAGAGCAAAGTTAGAAGAGCTAATGTGTGATTTCTGTGTCAAACCAGAAGCCAGTGTGTACTGGATTCCAGTCCGGGCCAGTGGTCGTAGGTGTTTGTTGTGGGGGGTGAGGGGCAGGAGCTGGGATGGCGTGGTTCATTTCTGCAAATCAGGAAGACATGATGGTCTGAGAAGCACTTAAGCATCGGGAGCGGTTGTGAGACTCCGCAGCCTCTGGTGTGGTGTTGGGAGGTCTCAGAGGTATGATGGGTCCTTTTTCCAGGTTTCCCTGAGTCTTTCCCAATATCCTAGGAAACAGAAACAAAAAATAATTACACCTTGTCCTCTGACCCTTGACATAGACGTTGGACTTTTCTCAGCAGGTGAGGTTTTAGAATTTACGCATGTTTCTTTCATCCTAGGACCAAGTGGGCACACTTCCCCCTTTTCTTCCCTCGAATCTCATCCTTTTGTGTAACATAATGATGTCTCATCATTTCTCCTGTTCCCTTTTGCCTTTGATAAGAGAGCTTTAGAGCAATTGTTTCAAATTCTTTGTAAATCTTTTCCCTCAAATAACCTGAGTGTCTCCTCAAAATCATAACGACTCTTGCTGGGCCACAGGATATGTTATAGATGAACTTTAATCACTCCATTCTTAATTTCTTGATTAATTTTTATTACACTGTGAATCTGTAAGGTAAGTGCTGTAACTACATAGTTAATGATAATTAATTTGTAATATTGCCTTTATTTTGAATATTACTCATTTTTTAAATCCAATAGTAATAATTATTTTCCTTTGTTTCCTAAAATGCACACAGATCAGTTATTACATTGCTGCATTTTATCATAAAATATCTTTATTAAAATGTTTTACTCTTCTCAAATTTGATCCATATTCTTTTAAAAGAGAATATTTTTATACCTTTCAAAATGTGCTTGCATTTTGTTCTGCGCTGTGGAGCTGATATAGAATATATATTATGTTTTGATAAGCAGGCAGTATCCTTTCCCTTAAAGTCTGGGTTATGAGAGCATATAAAGGTTGGCTAGGTCGAGACTTCTTGAATGGTGTGGTGTATATGGCGAACATCAGTATTCTAGAAAAGAAAAAAACAGAATGATGCAGCAGCATGAACAGCAAGCAGAATGAAACAGTTGTCTGAGGAAAGGAACTTCCGCCTTCGCTTTTCTAAGCCAACATTGTAACTGATGGCGCTAAGCCAGAGGGAGCTCCTTAAGCAGACAGGAAATTTATTTAATTACTTGAAAAGCTATTTTAGTAAAAGATCTTATGACCTATTGAAAAACATATGCAATTGAGGCTCTGGAACTTATTTCCAGTTTTTAGTTGGCTTCAAGTTACAAAAGCATACAATTTCCATAGGAGAAAAAGGACATCAGGACCTCACTGACTTCACACGCCAGAGACTCGTAACGGTTGAGTGACTTGCTCTTAGTGACAGGCTGGTTCTGGCAGCCTCGTCCATGCACAGGCCACTCTCCCTAACTTTAGTTTTCTTTTTAGCAAAAGATAATGTCTTTGCCACAGGTATGTTGTTAGGCTGTGCTTAGACTATAGTATAAAATATTCTAGTACTTATGAATGGAAGAATTCATCATTTATATTTAAAATGTACCTTTAACAGTGCTTTTAACTTTTGCTTATCAAATATGTTCATCAATCAGTCCTTAATTTTTCTTTATGATTTCTGGCCTCTTATTTTTTTTTTTGTTTTCTTTTATAATATTGCTTTACTGACTGATTTCTGAAAACTGTAATTAAATGTTAGACAATTCTCCTATTAGTTGTTTTAATGAAAATGTGGAGTATCTGTTTTCCTTTTATTATTAAGTGTACTTGTAATGATATTATGGTGAATAAAATCCAGCCCAACTTTGGGGGTGTTTGCATTTTGGGGGATATCTTGTTTTAGTTGTTAGTGCTAAAAATAATGTGTTTTTGTTTTTTGCAGCTGGTTTTAGGAGAAGTTTCCGTCTTAGTCGAAAAGATAAGAAAACAAATAAATCCATGTATGAATGCAAGAAGAGTGACCAGTATGATACAGCTGACGTGCCCACTTACGAGGAAGTGACCCCCTATCGGCGACAGACGCATGAGAAATACAGACTTGTTGTCTTGGTTGGTAAGTGATCATCCTGTGTGCGACGCTGAGGAAGTGGGACAGGAAGAGTTTAACTTCAGAAAGCATGACGCTGGAAGTCTTCAAGCTAAAAAAAAAATCGCATCTTGAATACCTTTGGCCTCTGAAATGAGATCTTTAGTCTTTTTTTGTACTCAGGTGACGCTGAGGAGACTTTTAAGGTACCTGTGCTGATGGTATCGGCATTCTAGTGGACCCTGTGTAGGAGAGAGGATAGCAGACACTGTCCCAGTGTATTAAGCATATCAGGGCAACCAAATAGAAACGAATAATTTGTAATATCACGCAAGTGTCTTTCAATTCATTTTGAGGCAGCAGCCATGATACGAGCTTCCTGTAGCATTTAGACCCTCAGTGAAGCTCGAGGACATTTAACTTATAGTCCTAGGATATTTAAAGCTGGAGAGTCAGCAAAACTGCTTAAAGTAAATATACGTGGGGGTTTCCATAAACCTTGGTTTGATTTGCATTAACGTTCTCGTAGATACCCTGTCCGACCCTGAAGACAGGAGCAGTCGCAACCTCCGTGTTGCCCCACCCCACTTTTGTTTGTGTTTCTTTAAAAATAGCGCGACAGGCATATAAGCTCTCAGGATCAAAACCAGTGATTTGGGGGAAACACTGGAACCAAGGAGCCTAGTCTGTGTCACTTGTTGGCTGTTCCTTTATGAACTGAAATGATAGTTCTGGGGATGGGGGTAGATGGGAAAGCTGAAGAATCACCCCTCCCACAAAGATGGAGTCCTTTGCAAGGTTACAGCCCTTGTTCTTAACAAATGGTAGGTGACCAACAGGAAGTGATGCCGTTTCTCCGGTGGCCCCGGAGGTCACCATTAACGTCGTCAGATAGTCCCATTGTTTGTGGTATTTAGAAATACATATTCACGTTTCCTTTATGGACAGTGTCCACTTCTTCTAATCTGTGTATACTGAGCCCCTCCCTCTCCAAGCCCCACCTGGAAGGATATTCTCCTCGGGTTCTTACATTTACTGTAGAGCTTATAAATGCCCCAGCGTCCACTCCCTGTAGAGCTGGGCACTAAGAGTCCAAACACTCTCCAGTTCTAAATCCTCTTGTCTCGCCCTCGGGCTCCTTGGACCACCTGCTCCTCCCCGAGGCCCACTGTCCCTCAGCAGCAGCTGTCCCTGCAGAATCTCTCCCGTCCCTGTTGCATCCTCTGCTCTTCACCCAGAGGCTGCTCCTTACCTGAGGAGAGAGACGCTTTGTGATGAAAGAGCAAAGTCAGTGGGATTTTCTGTGTCCCCGTAAATCAGGATGATTCTGTATAGTCCGGGAGTTACTATTACGACTGTGTACCTTTTGGTTTTTCCTAGGGGATCTAATTGAAAGAGGAAGGTAGGGTAAATGTTGCCTTTTTCCTTTCATGTAGGTGCTAACAATAAAAACCTTTTTCTTGGGGGTGAGGAAGGGGAGATAGATGGGGATAAACTGTAAGTCTGAATGGTAATCCAGGGAAGAATAAAAATAAATCATAGGAGCAACTAAAGATAGTTTGTGGTTATGGGAAAGCAGCAGCCACTCCCTAAAATCTCCCAGAGAAGAGGTTGGGGGAAAGCTTGGCTGCCTGCACTTAGAGTTAATCACGGAATTGTGTTCAGTGGTGCTGTATGCAGGTGTCCTTTTTTTTTAAACATTTTTTATTGATTTATAATCATTTTACAATGTTGTGTCAAATTCCAGTGTTCAGCACAGTTTTTCAGTCATTCATGGACATATACACACTCATTGTCACATTTTTTTCTCTA